GGGGTCTGTTGGGGGGAAATAGGGAAGGGACAGTGGGGGCTGGGGAGTTGGGGAGATATAGCATGGGGAGAAATGCCAGATATAGGTGAAGGGGAGGAAGGCAGCAAATCACACTGCCATGTGTGTACCTATGCAACTATCTTGCATGTTCTTCAAATGTACCCCAAAACGTAAAATGCATTAAGAAAAAAAAAAAGAACTACAAAAAAAAAAAGTAAAAAATGAGTCTCACAAGAGCTGATGGTTTTATAAAGGGCAGCTCCCCTGCACACTCTCTTCCACCTGCTGTCATGTAAAATGTGCTTTTGCTCCTCCTTTGCCTTCTGCCATGATTGTGAGGCCTCCCAGCCATGGGAAACTGCGAATCATTAAACTTCTTTTTCTTTATTTAAAAAAAAAAAAAGAAAGAAAGAAATGAAAGGAAGGAAGGAAGGGAGGGAGGGAGGGAGGAAGGGTTGGAGGGAAAGGAAGGAAAAAAAAGAAAGAGAGAAAACAAAGAAGGGAAGATGGAAAGGAAAGAAAGAAAAGAAAGAAAAAAGGAAGGCAGGCAGGCAGAGAGAGAGAGAAATCGGGAGGGAGGCAAAAAGGAGAAAGGAACGAAACAAACAAAATAAGATACCATACAGAAAATAGAAGATAGCATGTGTTTCCAGAGAGAAAATATGAAACACCATCATGGAACAGCCAGTCAGTTTCATTATCAACAAAGGTTTGTATTACCCTAGTGATGTTTATAAAAAAAAAAAAAAAAAAAAAGCCAGGCGCAGTGGCTCACGCCTGTAATCCCAGCACTTTGGTAGGATGTTACATTCAGCATCAAGACAACAACCTAAGGAATGATGAGTTAATAAGGAAGGAACCTGGATCTCTGGCTCACCCTGTAGAATACAGCTGCCCAACTAACCTAAAGCAGCAGCCATCCTGATAGGTAAGAAGGAACCACAGTCTACCTTACTGAAGCCATCAGGAACTCTTAACTTAAACATCAGCTTCACCTTTAGCTTATATATTAAGGAATTAATAAAACATTCATTCTCTTAGGCTTGGGAGTTCATGTATCCACTCAATTTTTTTTTTAAGTTTCTCATTGTTCTAAAGGAAACATAAATTTATTCTACTGCTTTCTTGTAGATTTCAATGGCCTTGTCCAAGTCTCCCTCCAGCAAGTGGATCTTCCCCACCATTATGTAAGTAAGATCATGCCTATTAAGATTCAGGGCATTGTGCAATTGTTCTTGTGCCTCACAAGTTTGACAAAGTAAAGAAAACCAAATCACTACCACTGGAAAAACTATAGCTTCATATGGCTAATGTAAAGACAGCTGCTGCTGTCTTGACACAGGAACATCACATTTCAGCAAACAGCCCCTCCTACCCAAAGACCAAAACATATTAAGACCGTCATTGTTGAAAAGACAGCTGGCAACATGGGATAACTGCTTCTTAATCTTTCTGAATGTTTTCTGCCTGATATTCACAACTATGACTCATACTTCGTAAGTCAAGAGACATCATACATAGTACAGTGTACAGTACTACACTAAACTAAATCCCAGCTGTAACACTGACCAAGTGTACAACCTCCCCTATGGTGGGCCCCAATTTTCCCATCAATGTGATGATAAATGAATAAACAGATTGTTCTCAGTTATTCACCCAAGAAATATTAATTGAGTGCTTGTTATTCTAGGTGCTAGATATATTTGAGTTAATAAAACCAACTCCTTGCTCTGGAGGAGCTTACCTCCTAATAAACAAAAGGGCTTTGTTTTGTCATTCACTGATTCAACAAGTATTTATGTAAGTGCCAGGTATTGTATTTTCCTAGCCTGTTAGCTATACAGTAAAATCTACATATATTTCTTCTCAGTACAGGTCCAAGCAAAGACTAATCCTTCTTCTCCTCCCCTGACTCAGAATATTCCTGTGAATAGAAATGTGCCTGTTTGAAACTGTCTCTGAAGAGAAAAATCTCCTAACCAAGTACAACTTTTATACCCCAATTGCTAAACGGCATATTTTTTTTACGCCACTGTGGGACAGATTAAGTTACACCAGTCTGTAAATTGACACAAACTGAACATTTTCAAATGGGCACTAACCAATTCAGATTCTCAGTCTTGGTGGCATTGCAGAAAGGAGAATAAAACTTCATAATCACTAAGTGTGAGCTCTATGAAGGAAACTACCCGACGCTACCATCACTAAGTTTCGGAGCTCTCAGTAATTTTGTCTCTTCCTCAATTAAAATATATACTTTTTCTTACCTGAATATCAAGGAAAGTTCAAATTGTTTCCTCTGATATGGGAACCTACAGCTTAATCACAGTGAAATATAAATTATCATCATGGAAAATAACTTAAAAATTTAAACAGAAAACTCAGAAATCAGATCTACCTAAAATTTAAAATTTATTTTCAATGACCCTAAAAACTAAAATCAGTTGCTGTCAGGGCATGAGATCGCTCATATGCTCATTATTACACCTTTAAGACTTAAGAGTCCACTTTTTGATATTTATGTTTTATTAAGCATCTGTTTCTTTACTGGGAAATTAAACCGGAGGTAGAGGAAAAGAAGAAAGGAAAACAACTGCCATTCCCTTATATTTCTAGAACTTTCCATGCCCATGTTCTTATTCAAAGCAGAGAACAACAGATGAATAATGACAAGTGAGAATTAAAACAGAAATAAATGTATAAAGATACTTTCAATTTTCAGTTCCAAAAAAACTCTGCAAGCACCAGGGATAATACAAAATGAGTAATGTAACTCTTATAACAACAAGTGCATCCTCAGTGAAATCCATCAACACTTGATAAATTACCTTGTTGAACTGCTTCAGATCAATGTAGCAAAATCCTAGGTTATGGCTGATCTCCTAGGCGCATTTAAAAAAAAAAAAAAAAAAAAAAGGGAAAACAACTTTGTGTAATTCCACAGTAAGTATTAGAGTGAAACAACAGACATCTAGAGATTATTGTTCCACATGTTTTAAACTTTAAACCATACATTACAGTTTTTTATTAGAGTTCATACTTAAATATATTTAATTGTTAAAAATGAGTTCCTCAATTAAAAAAAAATATGGATTATAAGAAATAAAAGCAAAATAAACAGGTGATCTTCTTGGATCTATGGGGCACCCTGGGGCACATACTCTCTAAGAGTTGCCCATCACCCATACCCTTTTAACCTTCTCAGGAGAGAAGCTGAAAGCCCCCTGAGGACTGCTAGCCACATTTCTGCCCTTAAGGCAAGACAGCTGGACAGTGACACCTGACTCAATTGAAGTCCTTTCCCTAGGAATCTGGATTGGAGGAGAGCTAGTTAGTTGCAAGTACTAAATTTACTAGGTGATGTGGACTTGAGGACTGACAGCACCACCTGGAATCCACTATGATGGAATACATGTAATTGGAGTCATCTGCAGAAGTCTAGAGCCGAGATGGAAAAACTATGTCACGGGCCAAATCCATTACCTGCCCTTTTGTATAAGTACAGATTCATTGGAACACAGACACAACCACTGTTTTTGTATGGCTCATTTGCATTAGAACTGCAGAGTTAAGTCATTGCAACAGAGTCTGTATAAAGCCGTACAAATTAAAATATTTATTAACTGACCCCTCACAAAAAAAGTTTGCCAACTTTTGATCTACAGAAAGAAAAAATGAAGCAAAAAAGGCGGAGTAGATACCTTGGCTGCTGAAGCATTCCAGTTCTGCTTCACTAAAAGACCAACCTGCATCTCTTGATACTGTTTAATGGACTCTCAAATTCCTTTGTAATAAACCTTCCTTGATTTAAGGTAGCTTTGGAGAAGGAGAAAGCAAGGGTGAGGCAAATGCTCTTGGAAAACACAGTAAGAACTACCCTATTAGTAGTGGAGATGTAGCCCAGTCTGAGGAAACATGGACTCCCAGGCTCAGAGATAACAACTGATTTAATGTTTTCCAAGTCTCCTAAAACAGTAACAACAAAACAGCAACGATTGATTGAGCACCTACTAACATCAACCTTTAGGCCAGATGTTTTCATGTAATTTTCAGCAAACCTGCAACATTGTTATAATTATTCCAGTTTTAAAGATAAGGAAATGGAAGCTCACAGAGGTTGAGTACATTACCTAACTTTACACAGTTACAAAGTACCAACAGTGAGATTTTTTTTTTCTTTTTTACTTCTAGGGAGAACTAAATTTTAGGGAGAATTTCGATCATATATAAGTTGCAGACAGAGTCATCATGTACTTATCATCCTGTCCCGACAACCATCCAATCCACACCCCATGTGCTCCCCACTACTTTTGTAAGCAACTACCAGATAGCCCAACATTTTATCCACAAATATTTCCATATGTATTTCTAAAAGATAAGGCCTTTTTTTAAACCTACCCACATTATTATACTTGAAAAAACTTAGTGACTGCTTGATATTAGATATTCAATTAGGTTCAAATTTCACAAATGTCTCACATTTTAAAATTGTTTTTATTCAATCACGACTCAAATCATGTCCATATTACAAAGCACTGGTATTTTTAACTCAGGCCTCCTTCCAAAACTTATATACTTCCAACTTTGCCATACTGTCAGAATGCGTACGTGGAGAGAGACAAGGCAGAAATAAAGCCTTTCTTGTCTTTTAAATGTCCTGCTCTGCAGTAGGAATTGTCAAAGTAAGTAAATAAACAGATGTCCTGAAGGCTAACCTCTAATCTTTTAAAATCTTCAACACACATATTTGAGAAGGTAGCAACATACCTTTAACAAACTGACAGCAAAGGAAATTTGCAAAGGGCAACAGAACAAATCAGAGCAAATCCTACCTTTCAGGAGGTAAGGGAATCCAACAAGGCAGTTGGTACAATGGAAAGATCGGTCTTTTTTTTTTTTTTTTTGAGACGGAGTTTCACTCTTGTTGCCCAGGCTGGAGTACAACGGCGCAATTTCAGTTCACTTCAACTTCTGCCTCCCGGGTTCAAGTGATTCTCCTGCCTCAGCCTCCCAAAGTGCTAGGATTACAGGTGTGAGCCGCAGCACCCCGGCCAAGATCATAGTCTTAAGTTGAGGAATCTTAGATCATTCTAGATCACAGGCTTGAATTCCAGTTCTGGCTCAGCAACTAACTACCTCACTGTAGAAACTTCCTATCCTTCAGCGAGACATTCCATCATCCAAAGCCTTAGCTTCCTCACTTGTCAATGAGGGAAATTCTCCCTGCTTAACAGAGCTCTTTCAAAAGTAAAATAAGATAATTACCATTCTCTATTGTAGCAAAACTGTGAAATACCCTGATGAGTCTACAAAAGTAGGGCTACACAGTATCCTTTACCATTAAATTTTTTTTTTTTTTCTTTTCTGGAGACTGGGTCTCTATGTTGCCTAGGCTGGTCTCAGACTCCTGGGCTCAAGTGATCCTCCCGCCTCAGCATCCAAAAGTGCTGGGATTACAGGTCTGAGTCATCATGTTCGAGCTACTACAAGGTTTTCTACAAGTACTTATGAAATATGTAGGGTAGAGAAAGGCCTGTTAATAAAACTAAAATGAAAAATCATTAAAAATTTTTAAAAAGAAAAGAAAAATGCCATGATGGGGAAAATTTGGAAGAAAAATTTAAATTTTTTTTTAAAAAGGCCTGGTGCAGTGGTTCACACCTATAATTCCAGCACTTTGGGAGGCCAAAGTGGTGGATCACAATGTCAGGAGTTTGAGACCAGCCTGACCAGCATGGTGAAACCCTGTGTCTATTAAAAATACAAAAATTAGTCGGGGCATGGTGGCGTGTGCCTGTATTCCTAGCTACTCAGAAGGCTGAGGCAGGAGAATCTCTTGATCCCAGGAGGCAGAGGTTGCCGTGAGCCAAGATTATGACACTGCACTCCAGCCCGGGTGACAGAGGGAAACACTGTCTCAAAAAGAAAAAAGAGAATGGCTGTTTTGTGAATGACCACATCTACCAGTAACAATAGGATGGTTATCCCAAGTGAGTCAGTAATACCAAATTAGCTCTTTTAATCAACTGGATAGGTTAAGAAACATGTTCTATTCCCCTTGTGATCCTGAGCTTTCCTGTTTTACCTCTTCCCTATCTCGTCTATGGGTTATCTTCTTCTGCTCAGTCCTTCAAAACTGGTTTTTGATGGCTTACACCTGTAATCCCAGCACTCTAGGAGGCGGAAACAGGAGGATCACTTGAGGCCAGGAGTTTGAGACCAGCCTGGGCAACATAATGAGACCTCATCTTCACAAAATAAATTTAGCCAGGCAAGGTGGCACGTACCTGTAGTCCCAGCTACTCAGGAAGCAGAGGCAGGAGAATCACTTGAGCCCAGCATTTGGAGGTTACAGTAAGCTATGATCGCCCATTGTACTCCAGCCTAGGCAATCTTGTCTCTTTAAAAAAAAAAAGAGGGGGGGAGATCCAAGATGGCTGTTTAGGAACAGCTCAGGATTGCAGCTCCCAGTGAAAGCGCAGAGGGTGAGTGGACGCCGCGTTTTTATTGCCCACAGACTAGGAAATTCCCGGGCAGAGGTGCTCCACACTCGCCAGCGCGGCTGTTGTGGCCAGCGCTGCTGTGCCGGCCGGCCTCGGCCGGCGCCGACCAGCGCCGCTGCTCTGCCCCCCGCAGCTGCTTTGTCGGCGCCCCGGAGCCGCGGTTCTCCGTACAAAATACACCGGTCCGGGTGCCCTTTTGGCTGGCGATTGGAGCCACGGGAAGTCGCCCATATGCTGGTTCAAAAAGGGGACTGAGCAGAGAACCAGGACAGTAGATTCCAGGGCAAAAAAAAAAAAAAGAAAAAAAAGCGCCACAAACCTCAGTGCCGCTGTTTAAGCCAGCGCAGTGAGTGGCCGCAGGGGAAAACAAACAGACCCCGGCGCCTCTTCAACAAGCGACTGGAACACCAACTTAAAAAAGGCTCTGAGGCAGGGAGCCAGGTGATCAGGCTCGGCTGGTCCCACCCCCACAAAAGAACAGCAACCAGAAACTCTGGATTGAGAGTTTCACAGCAAGCGCAGCTGAACCCCGGACAGTCCAGCTCTGTGGGGGAGGGGCGTCCGCCATTACCGAGGCAGCCCGCAGTTGCCAAGGCAACCCGCCATTGCTGAGGCAGCCCGCCGTTGCCAAGGCAACACGCCACAGCAGAGACTCCGCCCCAACAGAGGCGGGCCACCATCGCCAAAGCAGTTCTAACTACACCCATATAAACAGGACTGCAGGGAAGTTCACTCGGCAGCGGGGCGCAGCCCACAGCAGCTCAGCAAAGCTGCTATAGGCCGACAGTGACTAGGCTGCCTCCTTGCTGGGCTGGGCAGGTCTGAAGGAAAAAAAGAAAAAAAAAAAAAAAAAAAAAA